GGTCTTAATAAGAATGTAAAATAGCTGTTTTAACTGGTCTTAATAAGAATGTAAAATAGCTGTTTTAACTGGTCTTAATAAGAATGTAAAATAGCTGTTTTAACTGGTCTTAATAAGAATGTAAAATAACTGTTTTAACTCGTCTTAATAAGAATGTAAAATAGCTGTTTTAACTGGTCTTAATAAGAATGTAAAATAGCTATTTTAACTGGTCTCAATAAGAATGTAAAACTGCCATTTTAAATTATTATAATAAGAATTGTTGTTTTAATTAGCCACAATAACAGTGTAAAACAGTCGCTTCAACTAATCGTTATAAGAACATAAATTATTTTTGTCCTTTTATAATTAAAATATAAACAATAGTTTTTATTTGACTGTTTATTGAACATAAAATAACATTTGATTTTTACCAAGCCAGAATTAAAATATTTCCGTAATATTTTGCCTACGGTAAAAACTTCGGTATAGCTTATTCCCGTGTAAACTTTAGAACGAAGTAGGGCATCTAGTGAGTAAAATCGATATTAACCATTAATTATCCTCTGTAATTTTTTATTCTTCCATCAACAACAGTAAAACATGTTTATCTACACCTGGGGAACTGAAAACAGTCATTACAAGTTAATCTGTCGTAAGTATTATCTCCATTCTGTTATGAAGGATAGACATCGGTTGTCGTAAGTTAGGTTTGTGGTATTTAGCTACACTTTCTAATAGCGGAATTTCCGAATAAGAAACAAAGAAATTCACATAAATATTGCTGTTTATACCGAAGTGTAATTCTCATGCATTAGGATATTGTGCCGCTTCCCGAAAAATGAAAAGTTAATAAAACAAATGGATCTCTTCTTTAAAAATTGAAAAGTGCGTTTCCAAAAATTAGATAACATTTTCCAGGTAAGAGTAACTTTAGTATTAGTACAGAAAATAATGCATATGTTAATCCAGTTTTCATTTATGTAACTTACATTTAGTCTTAACAATTAGTAATACCAGTAGCAACTTACTATATTTAATTTATACAAATTTTTATCTCTAAAACAAAGACATTTCTTCCTCAACACTGCATCTCTTCCGTCTGCAGATTCATTCAGAGACTTGATATATACATGTCTAGTTCTGCCTACATGTTGAATATGCTGTACGTTTACTAGACGTTCTTCTTCTGTGTGATTATTTGAATGTAAATTGTGCTTACAATTTACTAAACACGTAACACGTGCCTATCCATACCTTTCATTAATTAATATCAATAACTGATGTTTTGTGTCTCACCACTTCAAACTCAAAAACAAAACCATGCTATTGACAGTGAGTATTAGATAATGATTTCTTGTTCTCTCTGTATCCGCCATGTTGTGAGTGCTGATAGTGACATTTATATTTGATTTCAATTGTGAGTATGCGACTAGTGTAACGGCCTGAAGCGATAAACTCCTGAACATAGAAGAATAAGAATATACAGTACAGAGCAGTTTCCATGACAAATCTTGTACATATAATATCTGCATAGAATTCTAGAGGCGTGTACTGATTGTGTGTTCTGCTAAGTTTGTGTGCTGGTTATCTGTGAATATATATATATATGCATAGTGACAATAATAGAAACACCAGGTAATTACAGGGTGACGATCATTTCATTACACGATACACACGTAGTTCTGCAAAACGTAGATTGATGGTCAGGTATAATTTAACAGCTTGATGATTAAGCATTAAGTGCTGAAAAAACAAATAATTTAATATTTTAAAAAAGTTTAGTAAAAAACTACCTTTAT